GTCCCAAAGAACCTCCAAATACATAAAACTACCTTCTAGAATTACTGAGTTCAACTAGGGTACAGGATACAAAACCAAAACAAATCAGTTGTATTTTGATATACAAACAGTGAATATGTGAAAATTGAAGTTAAAAACACAAGCTGGGTATGTTTCTTGTGTGCCCTTGCCCTATAATCTCAGCACTCCAAGTTCAAGGCCAGCCTAAACGACCTAGCAAGATCCTGTCTCAAAAAAACAAAAAAAGTCAAGCCACCTACAAATAGCATTTATAGTTCTATTTGAAATAGAATATTGACTAAATTCAATAAGACATTTACAGGATCTATGTGCTGAAAATTATTAAGTGTTTTTTGTTTTGTTTTGTTTTTGTATCAGGGATTGAGCTCAGGACTGTGTGCTTTCGAGGAAGGTGGTGAAACCACTGAGCTAAATCCCCAGCCCTGAAAATTGTTAGTGTTGATGAAAGATGATGAAGTTAAAGATTAAAATGAATGTAGATATATTGTGTCCAGGTATGGAAAGATTCAAATAGTAAAAAGGTCAATTCTCCCAAAGTGATCTAGAGGTTTAACTGCAAATCTGGTCAAAGTCCCAGTAAGATTTTTTTTATACACATAGATCAGTTTCTTCAGAGCTTATGTAGAAAGATGAAGGTACGAGAATAGCTAAAACAGTTTTGAAAAAGAATAATAAAGTGGGAGAAATCACTCTCCCTGATTTTAAAACTTACTTTATAGCTACAGTAATCAACACAATGTGATATTGATGGAAAGAAAAAAATACAGATTAGTGAAACAAAACAGAGAAGCCAGAAATAGACCTACAGTAATATATCCCACTGATTTTTGACAGAAGTGCAAAAGCAATTCAACAGAAGACAAATAGTCTTTTCAACAGACAGTGAATGTCTAATAGCAAAGCAATGAACCATGACCTAACCTCACACCTTATTAAAAAATTAATTCAAAACTGTAGATTTAAATATAGAATGTAAAACTAGAAAAGAAAACAAAACCTTTTAGAATATAGAAAATCTTTGCAAATTAGAACCAGATAGAGTTCTTAAGGCATGACACAAAACTCACAGTCCTTATAAGAAAAAAATGAATAATTAGACTCTACCAAATTAAAACCTTTTTCTCTATGAAAGATCATGGTAAGTCATTGGAAAGGTAAGCCTCTGAGAGAAAATATTCAGAAATCATATACCAGCAGTGGTAACAACTTGCTTTGTTATCACATAGAACCGTAAAAATGACTGTGCGAGCTGAAACTCTGCAAAGCAATCTTTAATAGTAAAAAGAAAAATCATAATTGTTTTATGACCTTTAAAATGTTTTTACCAAACATTAAAATAATATATTGCTGTCAGTTATAAATATACAGAAATGAAAAAGGAATACTAATATTTATTTAGTACATTGGAATTTAAAACACTAGAAACATTGAAATTGACGTTTTATTTCTTTGGAAAGAATTTGTCAAAGAGTAGATTGAACAATGCTTAGCTTTTCATTGTATTGACATGGAGCGATCATCTTTTCTGGGTCTTGGTGAATTGTCATGCTCCTTTCTAAGGGTGGATCAGCTTCTAACCTTTTATCTATTGTGTTTCAATGTTGTGAAATTGCTCAGAGTTCCTGTAATCCCAAGTTTTTGCCAGTGTCACTTCATCCTTTTCCTCACTTTTTAAATTTGTTTGGAGGTTTGCCTTTGCTAAGTTATTTTGGCTGAACATCTAGAGTTTATCAAACTGCATCTGTGCCAGCATCCCCATGATCCACTCTTTCTTCTAAAACTCCATGCATGTTCAGGTTGAATTTTAGAGTTACCACTTCTCATTTCTTTGTTGTACTTTTATCTTTGATGGCCAATGTTCTTTCTTTCTTTTTTCTCCTTTTCTCTTTCTTTCTCTCTCTGTTTCTGTCTTTCTTTCTTTGCCCCCACCGCCCCCGTGTCTCTGTCTCTCCCTCATCTTGCTGTGTAGTTCAGGCTGGTCTTAAAGCCTCAAACTCATGATGATCCTCCTGCCTCAGCCTCCCAAATGCTAGGATTGCAGGTATGTGCCATCCAGTTTTGTGAAACATTATGGGGTTCATCACTAGGAGATAAGTAAGGATGCTGTGTAACTATACTTTTAGCATCTGTGTATGAAATGAATGACAGATATCCAGTGACTAATCTCTGGTGGACTTTGAAAGAAGTCATATGATTGATCAGTTGCTGCTGCTGGGGGACATTTAAATTATATAGTGATTTTGGAACTGAGGAGCTAACATCAATGTTGGTATTTCATATGGTTAAAGTTAATGTATTATGGTAACTAAAATCTGACTCATGGGAAATTGGTGTTATTTAAACTGTGGTATTTGAAATTGGTGCATGTCGGCTCTGTGCAAAGAAAGCACTATCTGTATCTGACAAAGACCCTCTATCTAGAATATAAAAAGAACTCTTACAGTTCAATATAGATTATTTAAAAAACTGGCAAAGGACACAAACATATATTTCATTAGAAAGAATATATGGATGGCAGATAAGTCCATGAAAAACTTTAACATTATTAGCTATTAGACAAATGCAAATTAAATCCACAGTGAGATAGCAGCATATATCTATTATAGTGCATAAAATAAAAATGGTGACAATGCTAAATACTGGCAAGGATGTGGATAAACTGAATCTCACATTGTCAGTAGAAATGGTACAGCCACTCTGGAAAATAATGTGACAGTTTCTTATAAAACAAAACATATGTTTATTATATAACCTTATAGCAGTGACATTTTTGGCCATTTATCCTACAGAAATAACAACTTATACTTAATCAACCTGTGTACAGATTTTTATGTCAGTTTTATTTATGTTAGCCAAAACCTAGAAATAATGTAAATGTTCTTCAACACTTGGTTAAATGAACTGTGTGTCTATATAATCGAATACTGTTCAGCAATAAAAGGAATTGAACTGTTGACATATACATTAATTTGGGTAGATCTCAAGGGCAGTTATGCTCAATGAAAAAAGCCAATGTTAAAAGGCTACAGACTATGTTTCCATTTATATAACATTCTCTAAATGTCAGAATTACGAAGATGGAAAACAAATTGGTGGTTACCAGGGCATAGGAATAAGAGGGAGTAGAGTGTGAGGATAAGTTGCAACTATGAATAAGGAGTTTGCCCAGTGGAGTTTCTTGGTGGTGATAGTTAAGTTTCTAGTTTAACTGTTCTGAGTTTGGAGATGGATTAAAAATATAGAATGACCAAAAAAAAAAAAAAAAAAAA